CTCTCTCTCTCTCTCTCTCTCTCTCTCTCTCTCTCTCTCTCTCTCTCTCTCTCTCTCTCTCTCTCTCTCTCTCTCTCTCTCTCTCCCTCTCCCCCAGATACTGACCCCCTTGCACTGTTGTGCATGTGGAAGGCCAGCAGAGGACAGTGGCGAAGACCAGATATGGCACCAGGGGAACCCTCGTCCAATGCTGCACCCTGCCAAATATCTCCTGCTCCGCTAACCTCCAATGCTGCACCCTGCCAAACACCGAGTGCCCAACTTGAACTGGCCCATCTATACATAGCCCTGACTCCAGTAGGTGGCCTGGATCCAGGGCCGTCTGATCAATGTGTGGATCGACGGTCCTCGATAAAGGCCGTGTGGAAGGTCCACAAACCTGACCAAGAACGTGGCCTGCCTGGGCGTGTCTACCAACGGAAAAAGGCACTGGACCTCAAACCAAATGGTCTAGACAAAAGCAAAGTGTGGCAGGCCTGAAAAACGGCTGCTGGGCCTGAAAATTGCCCCAGACCGCGCAAAAAAAACTGTGGTTTCACATCCCAGACCAGACCTACCGGGGCCTCCCAAGTCCAAAAAGGTGGCTGCGGGAAGCCACCCAAAATATGGCCTGTGCGGCCCAGGACCAGAAACTGGTCCCATTCTGGGCCTGAAGGGGCCCATGTGGGATTGGTGCATGCCACACTGCTGAGTGCTCTATCTCTCTCGTCTTTCGGGTGGGTCCTACGGTTTGTTTTTACTTTGGGGCGCCGGCGGCAGGGCTTCAGGGGAGTGTTTCAATTTTGAATTCAACACCATGCACAGAAAGCATCAAATGGGATCACTGTTCAGTGTTCACCAAAGAATCAAAAGATTGACAATTATGGCCGGGCTAGAATCTACACTCCATCATCGTGCCTGCCACTGTGCACTTTTTCCCACACTTTTCCCCTTTCCAATGTCAGCATCAGAAAGAAACAGATCCAAGCAATATCAATGGTAGGCTCCTGATTTCTCCTTTTGCTCTGCAATGTGAATGAACAGTGCAACATCCCAACCAATCCACTTCTGTCAACGGTAACGAACTCGAACGTAGAGGGTTCGCACAGGAGAAAGCATACAGACTGTCTGCAGGCAGCAGATCCAAGATGTGGGGACACCTAAGGATCCCAAGTTCGCTATTGGTTATTAACCTCACAGTAAGTCCCCTCTCACACAACTCAATTATTTCGTGAGTTCAGGCGCCAACTCACCCCTGCTGAAAATCACCAAACAAATCCCACACTTCACAAGACAGTGAAATGCCTCTGACACCTCACAGCATGTATCAGCCCTTACACTCCAGCCCCTCTGATGGACCACCCACGAAATCCTGCGCTTCCACAAGTTTTCTTACTACAAGCCCTGCTCTGACTATGCCTGTCCTATGAGACCTCACTCTCCAGCTCAGCCCTATGGATCACCCACCAAATCCTGCGCTTCCACAAGTTTTCTTACTACAAGCCTGGCTCTGACTATGACTGTCCTATGAGACCTCACTCTCCAGCTCAACCCTTCGGATGTGGACGACCAACCAAATTGCACACGTCTATCATCAGATGTCTACCAACTCAACCCTTCGAATGGAGGACCAACCACATTGAGCATTTCTATTATCAGATGTCTTCCACGAGGGGGCTCATACAATTCTAAACCAGCTGCTGCTTGGTATGCTGGGCGTTACAGCAATGGGCTGGAATCTGCCTTAAACGGTTGTTGTTCTCAAGAATACATTTCTAATGCAGACCTTTCTATCAGGAACTCAGTACCATCAATTACTGCTGATTCTCATAATTTACAAACCCCCTACTGAGCTGCAACCGACAGACTGCAGAAAATGACTATGAGAGAGTTTATAGCGGAAACCACATAGCCCTTTGACTAGCTTTTGCAGATTTTACATTGATGAAAATTGCTGCTGTCTCATCAGAGAAGTCTGCTTAATCCACCAGTACTTCCCAAAGTCGCGGCTCATATACGACCGCGACTATTGGGACGAACGGGCCTGGGGCGCAAGTACAAATTCTTTCAAGTGGAAACATCGTCGTTTTTTCATTTGGCTGGTCGTATATGTGGCGCGACTTGCGGAAGTACTGGTGGTTTAACTATACCAGGCTCCTGCCATAATCGTTGCAAGTCCTTGGGAGGCTGCCCCATGTGAAGGGCTCCTCATTGAGAACGAGGTTGATAATAGGTGCCCACAGGTCGATCTTTCCTAAGGGGTAGCAAGGGCTCAAAGACAAGGAGCGCAGAGAGGAATCTGACAAGATATAAGAACTAACGGTTCCACCGTTATGAGTGAGTTTTTCTATAAGCGCTCATGCGCCTATGGGGCAACAGGCATGAAGCGTAGGGAGAATACCTTGCCATCATGAAAACACCTGCTGTTACCATAGTAGCTGCAGGAATCATAGCTGATACTTCCTGTTGCGCCTTTGGCTCCACTCTGGCGATAGATCAGACGTGAAGCCTCTGCTCGATTACAAAACAAATGCTGGAGCTCAATCTTTTTTTCTGGGCACATAACAAAGATATTGACACTACGCGCCAAATCACTTTCAGTGCTTTGCAGGCGCTCACAAGAGATCACTCTTTTTCGAAGTAATGATGCACCCCAGCCTTGGTGTCATGATTAGAAACACATGCTATGTTTCCAGAAATGGATTGAACAGTAGGTCCATGTAATAGATCAATACTTCAATACTTCGTAAACAACACAACCTTCCATTGCCTATCGCCAGTGAAGATAAGATCCGGGTCAGGTTCTGTCCCATCCACTAAAACTCAAATCGGATCTTAGTAGCTTGTCTGACAGTTGCCTCTTACTCTTTGAGTGTAGGGAGCCTTTGAGCCCATTCGCCCTACCCAAGGAGCCTGAGTCAATCAATTCAACATGTAGATAGCGAATATAGATTAAAGGGCCTTTTTATCTGGCCGGCCCCTGACCAGAAAAAAAGGCCGAAGGGGCTGGCGGCACCTCTGGCTGCCTCTTCAATCTCTCCACGTGGCATATGAAACAAAGCTTGCAGTGCGGAGCGGACTAGTTTGAGAAGCTGTTTAGCTAGGAGATAGAAACAGATACCCTGCTTTCCCATGCTGTTCAGCTCCAGACCGTCCCATATCTCTCCTGACCTATGGGATGAACTGGCATTCAACACTGACCCAGAGATTGTCCCAGTCTCACTGTGGATGCCGATTCATGGAATACGGATAAATGTCCACATCTCCGATTTGCCAACCTCACCAGGACTGGTGCACGATAGGAGAGCTGTTCATTATCTAGGTTTAAAGTTGACAGGATCATCCAGAAGGGGAGCGCCAGTCAGGAAAACAGTGGCCAAGGTCAGAATGCCGAATGACGCACATCCTCACAGGTGATTCAGGAGAAGTAGGGTAAGACGCACCAGGCTGCTGGGTAGGCACCACACACACACACACACACACACACACACACACACACACACAGAGAGAGAGAGAG